AGTACAGAGCCATCTACAGACAGGGTTACAGGACTGGCTTTACGAAGTTGATGGGGGGGTACCAATAAGCATGACTTCAGTCTTGTCACAGTTAAGATGAAGGAAGTTTTGAGTCATCCAAACTTCCTGAAGACAAACATAGCTAACGGAGGTACTCTATCTGAATCCAATTTATTCCAAGTTTGCATGGAAGGAGACAGCACAGGAGAGGTTTAAAATTAAAAAAGCATTTGAACGTTTTTTTTTCAGTCTCAGGAGAGGCATGCACGATGATATCACGATGCATAACAGATAGCTTCTGAAGAACACATACAGTACTATTGTACCACTGACCTCAAGAAGCCCAGTTAGGTACTTCGCGCAGAGTGAACCTGGGTCTAGCAAGGGACTGTGTGAGCTCCATCCAGGCAGGACTGTGACATGAACCATTGTCCTCAGCGTTCTTTCAAGTGAAGGCAGCCCGTAGAATCGGGGAGCATCAGAGAGCCTTAGGCAGTGAAGTAGTTTGAGGGCCAGCTGTGTCTTAAAAGGTCCCGCCAAGGTTAGGCATACCCTAGGTTTAAAAAGAAAACAGCAACCAAACAAGCTAAATGAGTTGACTGGCCTTCTCTTATTTGCAATCTTTAATTAGTTACTCCACTGAAATTAGCACTGTGTGTTCATTCTGAATCACGCAGATAGCCCACTCTGTAAAACGTAACACAGCACCAACACTATAGTATGAAGTTAAAAACCAACACACAGCTATCTCCAACAAGACAAAAAAACTAGGAAACTTTGGAACATTTAAAATAAAACAAATATCTAGATTCCTGATTTTTCTCTTGATATGATGGACATTTCTGTTTGCTTGTTTTAAGGAATTTGGGGGTTCCCAAAAAAATGAACATAGTGACAAGGACACACATTGTAACTGTACAGACTGTCAAGTTGGTGAGGAATTAATGCCACTTTGGCACTTAGATTTTCATGCTGAGCCTGAATGGTAGTTTAATAGGGTAGTGATTAAAGACACCATTGTCACAATTTATCAATGCACAAAGCATGCCTAGGATTAAGCATTTCGCCACACTCGGTCAGCTCATGAATTTTCAGCAAAACAATTAGGGAATTCTGCCTGTAAACAGATGGTCCTTGAATAGTGCTAGGAATATAACAGATAGCCAAAGGCAAATTGTTAGTCTTACTCATACATTATTTTATTTGCCACTGAATCTTTCCAATGTATTGTATGCAGTCTCCATTCCTCCACTTGCTATCAGCAATGTTTATGAACACATTTAAATTTAAAATTAGTTTCTCAATATACCCCAAACTCCCAGAAGCGATTTTCCACGCTATCAAATAATACTAACAGGATACTGCAAAGTTTATTTCCCATTTCTGTGATCTCCACTTTAAAATTTAGTTCAATGTTAATGTTTTAAACCTTCTGATTTATAACGGAGACATGCAAACACATTCCTGAACTGCACAGCAGAAACTAATTTCTGTACAAATATGTTAACCTTTTACAAAACAAAACTGAAATAGGCCAAATAATGCACCTTACACATATTCTAGCTTTACCGCATGCTTTTTAACTCCTGTCACATCTTCACCAAGTGAACAAATGCTTTGGTATTGTATATTAGACCAGTAACCTCATCATCATCCTAATCATGATAAAATATTAGCATTACCACAGAGTGTCCAGTAAAAACACTAGGAACATCTCTCCAGACATAGTTAACTATTAGTATGCATAAGAACAAGAAGAACTTTGTACTCTATACATTCTCCTTACCTGTCAGAAACACAGGTCAGACAGTTAAGTAAGGTGTTGAAGAAACTCATTAGCTCTTTCTGAAGCTTCTGACTAATGATTGCCTGGATTTCTTCTATTTCCCCTTGTGCCTGAGATTCTGGCCGTAGTAGTAAGTTTAGTATTGTGTTTGTTTCCTCCAGGAAAAGAGAAATGGAGAAATATTAGAAAGGTAAAGCACAATAACATACGAATAGTTACAAAAGAGAGGAGGCCTCATCCAACTGTTTTTTGAAAGAAGCCAAGATATAGGCTTCCAAAACTTAGCACATCTTCATCATGTGTAATCGGAAATCTGATACAGACTGTTTTAGATATGTGATGTTAATTCACATAAGATTGCCAGAGAGGTGTACAAATAATAATTGATTTAATTTAAAACAAATGAAGTGAACTTTTTCTAGGATTGCTAGGACTGACCTAAATTTCAGTTACATACAAGTGTGTGAAATATATTACCCAATGAGTAAAAACTAAAAACTGAGCTTTTATCTTTTCGATCTTTTACACCAAATCCTGTTCCAAAATATCAAAATAGCCTCTTTCATAATCAGACAGCTTGTGCACAATTTAATTTCATACAGCACAATTGCTTGAAAAAGCCATGGTTGAAGATTTACCAATTTAAGAATCAGTTCTAAGATCCACTGGAGATCGTCACCATTGGTTTCTGACTTCTGCTCTTTGAATAATTTGTTCAGGAAAACCACCACATCCACCAGTAGCTTCTCATCCTCTGTGCACGCTGGGAGAACCTGAAGAAACCTTGGTTGCAAAAACAGTATGAAACTTTAACTGACATCCCTAATTCTTTTACTGTTACAGAAAATAAATTACATTTCTCCCAAAGCCTATTTTCTAATTGTCTCTCATTTGATTTGTGCCACATTTCCCTGTAATTGTGATATCCCTTGCTTTGTGATTGGTGAACTGACCAAAAGAAACATTTTTTCATGATAAGCATAATCAATACTTGCTACTGCTCAGAGGGATATGCTTGATCTATGCGATTTAAACCCAGTGCAGATATCTCTAAGCTCAGCACAACTAGGTGTAGCAGGGGAGATACGTCAATCTAAGAAACCATTTATGTGAAGAGAAAGAAACCTGATCTTTGGATTCAGCTAAGATCACAGCTCTGCACTGACACGGGTGAATTTGCAACTTCTCTGTTACAAAAGATTTACTGAAGAGTTTAGTATTAACTCTTAATCAATAAAGTACTGTATCTATTTATCTAATCCACTGGGATATGTTATTAAATTCTCACAAGTTCTTTAATTATTCTCATAAATGAATACGGTTTCCATACTCAGGACACAGACTGACCATTACATACATCTATGGCTGCACAATGTTCAGGGCTTATTAATAACACAGCTCTGAAACCTCCAGAGGTCCATATTAACCCTCATGTTTCAGTAATCTAAACAACCAAGTCAATCCATTACAATTATACAGTACATTGGAAACAATAATCCCCCCTCTCCATTAATAATTAAATTATAGCCAGGAACACAGAAAATTGATATATTCCAGTTAGTAGCACTGTGTGTAATCAAACGATGTGATGGAAGAGTACTCTGCTCTTGGGTTAGGTTTCAGGTGTGGTTGGGAATTCCAAACTCATTAAACAAATAACTTGGCCCGGACCAGGTTGCTCCAGCTCATGTGATGAGGGACTGGGAGACGAAAGATCCCATCCTGTTTAGTAAGATAACACAGTACTGGGGGGAAACCCTGGGGGACAGTTTGCACCAGCCAGTCAATCCTAACCTACAGCACACTGCGCAGGGAGGTGGAAGGAATCTGGAGTGCTGGAAGAAAACCTACAGAAACAGCAGAAGGACATGAATACACTCTATACTGAAGACACCCCAGTCTGTACCTGATCTTAGGACCCCATCTAGCCCCATTCAAAACTCTGCATTACTCCTCCAGCTGACAGCTGGTGTGTGGTGAGCGTTCTGGCGCACTATGGCTGCCGTCGCATCATCCAGTTGGATGCTGCACATTGGTGGTGGTGGAGAGGAGTCCCCATTACCTGTAGAGCGCTTTGAGTGGAGTGTCCAGAAAAGCGCTATATAAGTGTAATCAATAATAATAATAATTATTATTATTATAAAACCATGCTTCCCCATTAAGGGGAGATATATATATATATTTTATTAATATAATGCACATAAAAAATATCAAGTGAGCTGCAAACATACCTGTCAATGGCGGTGTGCCATTCCAGAGTCTTAAGCACATTTTTGGTGCTCAGTGAGCCCTGTCGGAGAGCCAGCCTGTCGGTCAGAAGATGGAAGCGAATCCGTGCCAAGGCAGAGCTCACAGCACTGTGAGACAACGCACTGTGGATACAGTGCAAACAGTCCTGAAGGTCACTGCAAACGTGAGTCACTTTCAGCATCAAAACCTGAGCGAGTGACAAGTTCAGATCATCAAGGAACCTAAAAACAAGAACACAGTTTTTCAAAACTGCAAAACCTTTGATTTCCAAAAAAAGGAAAAAAAAGGTACAAAAGATCTTGGTATAGCAAGAAACAGGAGTAATTTCTAAAAGCGCTATTAGCAGTACTGGTGTCCATCATGATTAAGCCTGCAAAGATCTGAGAGGGTATTTGAACATACAGAATAAGAATAAGGAATGAAAAAAGTTTACTTTCTGTGGGCACTGTTTGCTACACAGCACTGTACAAAGGCATCCAACTGGCTTCCAAAACATTTTGAAAATTTGCTGCTTTTTATTTCATTTCTAATAAGTTGTAGGGTTAGAGCAGCATGTCTTTGATTTCAGCAGGACAGTATTACTGTAATGGGTGGTTCTGTGCACTCAGGATCAAACACCAAGCAATGGAAATACTTGTCCAATTTAGCAACTCCCAAGAAAATGAATCTGTAGCAGGAGGATGGATACAAACCTGAAGCTACAGGACCCATCCTAGACAATAAGCAATCCTTTCTAGTTCAAACATTTTTCACCTTGAAGACAACAGTCTAACAGTCTTCTCTGAAACATTGTATCTAGTACAGTAAAATGTATTCACAGGGTGATAACATAAATGCATTATAAACAAGACACTAAAATCTTGAGGATAAAATGTATAGTAAGTGGTATAGTGTATTATAAATAATACAGTTTAAAGTAAAAAAGAACATTAATTTTTAGAGATGTATGTTGTTTTTATAACACTCAAATTAATATGACTTATAGTACACCTGTCAAAATACTAGAAGCCATATGGATATATATTTTACTTTAGGTCTTTGAAAAAAGTGTTTTTTTATTACACAGTACTTACTACGTTGCACAATTATTTTTGTAACATTTTTTAACTGTGTATTTATATGCAAATTAAAAAAGCATTAACATAAAGTCCCCTTTATATCTGTGAAAATTAAGATTTCCTTCATTTCTGACTGTGATTTGCTAATTGTTATTCAATGATTTATGCCTCTTTAGTAAGTGCCAAAATAAAGCTGTTTAGTCAAGCCAGAAGGTACGGATTGATCTACACCTCCATTAGAAATAGTCTTTCACAGAGGCTCATTATTTTCCACAACAGATGCAGTGGTGTGCTCATCTTTTCTTATTATGCCTTATACGACACAAGTGAAGATAAATTAGACACAGATGCACTTGTTATGAAACTACTCCTTCATTCAATTCTAGATGACAAGGAATGTGAATCTGCAATGACTTCAAAAAAGTAAGAAAGGCTTATACGACACAAGTGAAGATAAATTAGACACAGATGCACTTGTTATGAAACTACTCCTTCATTCAATTCTAGATGACAAGGAATGTGAATCTGCAATGACTTCAAAAAAGTAAGAAAGGCTTACATAATCCATCCTGTTCGTAAATCACACACACAAAAAATTAGAGGCTAACAAGTGCAATAAAAAATAGTAAAGGGGTCGAGAAAACATTTGAAAATAATAAAACGCAATGCCAAAGAGGAATCTTGTTAACATGAGAGCTGTGGCTGGCATAAGAAACAGCTTTTTCTGCAATATCTGTTATTATGTATTATATTTCAGTATATGTAGTATATTTCCCTTTATGATTTAGTGGTATATTTCAGGTTTAAGTGTTCCAAATTAGGGAACAAAAAACGTAAGAGGATACCAATTAAATACCAGAAAAACTTCAAAAATAAACGTTTTTTTTCCAAAATTGAATTCCTTTTAAAGAACATTTAAAGAAAAAAAAAACGACTAAAATATAAAAACGACTAACGACTAACATTTTAGCGAAAAAGAAACTATTTAAGATCTTTTACCAGTTTTTTATTTCGTATAGTGTTATCCAGTTGACCACCACCCATGCCTTTTTTTATAATCATATCTACTGTATACTATTAAGCATGCCTCAGAGTTTATGTAGTTTACAATGAATAATCCTTACTCCGTAAAGCCAGTTCTGTGGCTCTCCAGCTGAGCCAGGAGGTTGTCGACTCCACCAAACCACGCTCGATTCCAGGCAAACTGAAGCAGCCGCCAGGCTGGTGCCAGAGCCACCAGGTCTGACTGCAGAGGGAGGACTGTGCGGTAAGGACTAACCAAATGGTGAGACACAGCTTCGAAGGGAAGATTGTACCTTCAAACAGGCAGGACAGACAAAGTCTCAGTTTCGCACATTCAAATAAATTTACTAAATCTTTCAAGAAGCAAACATGCAGCCTCATGTTTCCACCATGACACTGACACAATAAACCAAATATTTGTGTTAACATCAATACTTGTGGGGAGCTGTGTCAGCAAGCGTAGGCTGCAGAAGAACAAGTAAAGGTTTATTCCATGCTGAAAAGAGAAGAAAAGAAACATGACATTTCAGCTGTGGAGCCTTGAAAGAAAAGAAAACGTTGCATTTCTTTTCTTCTCTTTTCAGCATGGAATAAACCTTTACTTGCTCTATCAAAATAAAGGTTTACCAGGTGTTTAAATATACTGTAGTACCAAAGTCGCTTACATAGTGTATTGGCACAATGGTATGACTACTTATGTGGTCCAAATATTTTGATTTTTCCATGCAGTTTTTAAGGTCCACTTAAGCAATAACTAATAGGAATATCTCTAGGGCCATATAAATCTCCACTTGTTGTTGAGTTTGAAGAAGCAAATCAATGAAGAGGTCTTTCACAGTTTTGTAAAACCACTGTTAACTTGGAAGAGAAACAGAATGGTTGGTGGTACGCTTCTGTCTTTATTATAATTCAGATGCGTTTACAATCCAATACACGAGAGCTTTAATGAAATCAAATTAACCTTACTGCAGCATCAGTCGGTCAGCACTATAGTGGGCAATTGCAGAGGTCATAGTCATGAGGAAGTGACACTCCTGTGAGCTTCAGTGAACATGGTGGAAGAGTATTTTGCACTAGATAGCAATGTAACTGTACTTCTTTTAAAAACAGTCAATTTGTGCTCTGAACCTAGCACTTAATGAGGCACAAGTCACCCAGAGAACAAGAGAAGAGGGTGCAAGAAACAGGACTGAGGCCTACTCCACCACACATCAGACACCACAGCAGCATAAAGTGGGTGGTAATGCCCATTGTTTTGTGTTTTCTGGCAACACTGGATGTTGAAGGTACAGTATAAAAAAAATTCCAAGTCAGAAATAAACATACATCGGTCAGCTTTGTCCTGCAGAGTAGCACAAAACAGGGTTTGCTGTGTAGCTACTGTATCATCGTTTTCAGAGGTTACTTTACAACTACAGTTTATTTCCACCCGTATTTTAAAATTGCCTTTATCAGAGAAGGTTATATTTATGACAAATCCCTCCCGGCATCATTTCAGGGTCAACATTGGTTATATGTATCTGAGAGTGTCAGCATTTTGTTTTGACAGATCTAAAGGACTAGTTTTTGTTAGAGGTTATACCCTTGATAGACGCTATGGCCTCTATAATACTACTGGCAAACACTAGGGTGCAGCAGCACATCTAGTAAAAAAAAGTAGTACACTTGCATAGAGAAAAGGTCTCTGCTTTTCTGTTATTGAAGTTCTGTTATTCTTTATGTTACTGACTATTTCAGTTAATCCTGTCTGTATTACGAATAGAAAAATGTGCAAAAATGCATATAGTTGATTTTAAAAACACCACAACTGTGTTTAATTCAATTGATGATGCAAATTTTCACTTCTTCACCTGTGGTGTCACACAGGGGGGTGCTGCACTTTCGTAGTGGATGAACTGGTTGTCTTGCTTTTGTCTTTACCAATCATGGCCTCCTAATAATCCCCATCTATGAATTGGCTTCATCGCTCTGCTCTCCTCCCCACTGAGAGCTGATGTGTGGGGAGAGTACTGGTGCACTATGGCAGCCGTCACATCATCCAGGTGGGGCTGCACACTGGTGGTGGTGGAGGGGAGTCCCCATTACCTGTAAAGTGCTCTGAGTGAAGTATCCAGAAAAGCACTATAGTGTAAACTATTATTATATGTAATGCACTGAGGGCTGAAAAACACAAACCTAAGGACGCAAGTGGAAATTACTGTATGTGGAAGAGCATTTCCAGCTGAGAACAGGAGGCACTTCTTTATCGAAAGAGTTTGAGAGTTTGGAACAAACTACCCAGCTATGTTGTCAAGGTCATTTACCTGGCTTCTCGTTAGAAAGGACTGAATGACATCCACACATCAATTGTCTACTAATTACCAAATGGACTTGATGGGCCAAAAGGTTCTCCTCTCTTTTACAGTCTTTCTCATGCTTTTAAATTCAATCAAGTGATTTTACAGCTAAAGTAAACTGACATTGTTATTAAAATGAAAACTGAAGGGATTGAACCACAACAATTTAGCTGTGGTGGAGGCTTCTTGAAAAATGCAGCACAGATGAGAGATTTTCTTTACATTTTCAGTGTGGAATTCACCACAGCGACTCACAGACTAATGAAGTTCCCCACTATAGCCTCTTCATGTTACTTGTCTACCTGACAGGAAAGGTCAGAAAAATTAGCTAAAACTGTTAACTTGAAAAAAAGGCTTCCAGTATGTTTTGCAATATGATTTTTTACCTCCTAACTCCATACATATATTTTTGTTTCAAATTAGAAAATAACCTTCAAAAGGTCATGATCACGATTAAGCTGTTAGAATAGTTTAAGACTGTAGAGGTTTCACACAAAGAACTACTTCACTAACTTCAAGTGCAAATGTATAGAGCAACTTTAGTTACCCAAAGGTAAAAATAGTCTTTACAAGGTTTCCATGAGGTAAACTAACTTCAATGTGGCTACAACTAAACAAACAGTTTACGCCACAATTCAAACAAAGAGCGTTAACCATACTGTATATGCTGAAATGTATACTGACTTTCACTCTCTTTTTACTCTCTCTGAAAACGTGTATTTAGCATTAAGATGTTGATAGAATCTTAGGGTTAGGGGTAAATCTAATTGTGAATAAAAACATCTATTTTTAGGATTACCTAGAATCTGTTTTAAGAAGTTGTTGTTTTTTTTCTTGAAACAACAGCAACTAAAGGATGTTAAATCACTTCACATATCAAGTAGGAACAATCCCATTTCATCCACCACTGAAGTGCATCTCCCACTTGGAAAGGTGAAGAAGTGCCAGACTGTTCCAGTCCAGAAAGGAATTTAACCAGGACACGAGGGTAAACATCCTTTTTTATGCACAGTTCCATGCGATCTTTAGGGCCTGAGTTTTCTGGATAATGGTTTAATTTCATCCAAAAGCTTGCCACCTACTGGTCTAATGTGGACAACACTAACATGGTTTTCTTTTGAGATCTCCTATCGCATTAGCAAAATTCTTGCTCAGCTTCAGAGGTCTGATGATATCATGATAATGTCGCATGGCATATGGTATAAAGATATTTAAATGAGTAAGCCTTCTTGTAAAAAAATAATACAAATACAGAAAATACTGTTCTGTGCAGATACGCTTTGACTACATGAAGTGCTATAAAACAATGTCATTATAATTGTAAACACACAGTATCTGATATCATTATGCATCTTAAATTGCCTTATATTGTATGTTGTACTTAGAAGAAGCAATTTACCTTCTGACAACAGAAACAGGGATTGAAAATGAAGGAGTGCAATTTCCACTGACTGCCGAATCCTCTGTCCTGTTAAAAAAACAAATTCAGAAATAACTAAAAATAGATCACGTTTTTCATTCAATATTCATAGATGAGAAATAAAACAAGCTAAGATACTACAATACTAAGCCTTCTTTCTAGGCACCCAGTGCACTGAATTCAAACTTCTGACACTGAATGACTTACACAAGCAAGTCCTGAATACTGAGATATTTTAATTACACGATGAAGTAGAGCAAGAATAGGGTAACTCTTACCAAATGTCCATTCTTGCAACTTCATCAAACAGCAACAGACACATCAATGCTGCAGGTTCAGCAAGGTCCCCTGAATTTTCTTTTACTATCAAGGAAGCTACCAAACAAAACAAAAGACGTCATCTCAAAAACTATGATATACTGTATGGATGGAGGTAACATATTTAGTGCTTTAGTAATGGATTACTACTCAGAGAAGCAGTTGTTGGCAGACAGGCTTGGCATGCTAAAGTCCATGAGGTCACGAAGAGTTGGACTCGACCAGACGGACTAAACACAATGGATTATAAAACCCTGAGAGCATGAAAGAAAAGCACTAATCTCCAGACACATCTTTAAACAAACTCGATGTGCTGCTGTTCAATAGTTACGCTCATAGCAGCAGCTCCAGTAAGTTTGTGGTCTAATAAAAAGGATGGGAGATCTCCAAAGCTATGTGAGACTCGTGGACGCTCAATCATCCTTGGCCTTCTGACCCAGGCTGGACAATTTTTCATTCCATGCCATTCAGTTTTCACTGCAGCAAGCTTTGTTCTGCATGCTAACAGGGCAGAGACTTCAGAAGGCAACACTGAAGAATCTGTTTTTTTTTTTTTTGATTGATCAAAATGATGTCAAGGAGCATCACAAAACATTCCGATCCATTTCCAACTTTCCGAAGGGAAAAATCAAATTTTCTTCATTTTACAAAGATGTCTTATGCCACTAATAGCTTAACTGCTTCTGCTAGATTTTCTCTATGAAACAGAAATTTGATTATTCAATGTTTAACCTGCAGGTGTTTTTATTTAAAAAAATGTTATAGGCCAAAAAAGCAAAATATCTTGTCATATTGCAGGTTTACAACTTGCTAGGCAAGGAAATGTGTTTCCAGAATTCCAGAGGAATGTGAATTTAGAAATCATGTCATTTTCCTTTTATAAAGAATGACATCACTGGCAATGCTGATATTAAGCATCTTTAATTCCTCTATCCCACCTCTTAGAAGCATCATTAGAACAGAGGCCTTCTGGGCCAGGCAGTGGCGCAGGCCTGGGTCTGCATACACCAGCTTCCTCAGTATAGTGAAGCAAGACTCCAAAAGACAGTCCATACTCTGTGTGAGCAAAACATGGAAATATATAATAATTAATCTAACACATCTAATGTCTATTTTACTGCATGAAAATCAAAAGTTAATTCTTGCCTAGATGATAAAAAGTAGCTAATTCACCCCATAATTAATGTAACAAACCCCAATCCTATAAACATGGGGTCACTAGCCATGATCCTGCAGATACCTGGCCCAACAGGTTCTGTAGGTAACCTTAAATAATTAAAACATTAGTACTTGTTTCGATCTAAATTATGCTAAATTATACATTTTGCATCAGGTCCTTTTGTCCTTGAGGTCCACATTTTGCTTATTTAAGAAATTGCAAATACTTCTCTATCTTTGGACGTAGGTGATCGAGACAGATGGGAAAAAACCTTTTACAAACATATTTCCGAAACATCAAAAGAGAAGACTACATATTAAAAGTAACTTTTACCATTTCCTAAAGAGGAAAAGGCTGGTATTTTCATGAGTTATTTTTTTTCCAGCATAATTGCAGTAGTGGACGTTTTGACGTGAATACATTTTTTTCCCACAAATATGGGCGCAAAATAAGCAATACAACTCACTTAAAAATGATCGATTTCACATTTCTAAAGGAGACTGAGAAAATTAGTTTTGTTTCTCATGACTGAAGGTGGTGCAGCATTTATATGCTTACCAACTGAGATATTGATATTCTTAGTACAGTAAAGGATAAAAACTCATTCATTCTGATTTTGTTGCTCACAGATACTGTATATTAATCCACAAAATTGTGGTGATGTTTGAGGAAAGGAAAGTTTAATAATGAAGGCTAATTAGATCAATTTATTTCTGTATATATATGAACTGCATATCTAAGGTTTTACAGTAGATTGAAAATCATGTCTGTACTACATATCTGTGTATAAATAAATGAGTTTCCCATGTTGTACACAAGGTTTAAAGGATAAAGAATAAGTAATTCTTAGATCTGAGCTACTAGCTACCAAATGACCAAGACCCATTCAGAAAAAAGATGAGTGGTCTCATATGTAATTTCTTATTTTTTAGTCTGAGTCCCAAAAGGAAAGCATTGCAAAATGAAAAAGAGCAGCTTAATCATTGCGTAACTATACAGTAAATACACTTTTAAAACTTGAGTACCTCATTCAGAAATAAGCTGGAAAATATATATTCTTCTAATAAGGTCTATGAACGGACCATTTACCTTTACACCGTTGTGTACACATTCATTTATAAAAGATATGACTTTCTCTGTCACTCCTAGGCTTTTCAGCACTGCATGCAGTGTTGTATCTGTGGAACAATAACAAGGGGATCGTGATCATGAAATTAAATAACACTCATGTCCTGCAAAGATGTGAAATAATGAATCTCTTACAACTTAAAGCACAAAGGATTAAGTCTGGGGAAACCAGGAAATGTAAAACTTGCAATTGGTCTTGCAAGCCACTTTAAAAACACAAATAGCAGGGATGACCAGAAAAAAACAACATGATTGTGCAGACCAGCAGTGCTTTTCTTAGAAACGCAACTATAAAAACTGGGATTTCCTTATGTTACTGAAATTTATATTGGTTTATTTTAGGAAACTTATATTATTATATTACGTTGTTAAATCTAGTCTATTAGAAACTAGACCAAACAAAAAGATCATTTGTAAGGATCTTGTTTGTTGATTTTTCACCTGCTTTTAATACAATACAGAAACTCTCAAAGAAATCTTAAATTGTAACAGTAATTAGATAATATAGATCCTAGACTTCTTAAAACAGGACTCAACAGGTCAAACTGGGGAAATAGCTCACATTCACTACACTTTCACTGGATCACCACAGGGCCTTGTCTTGCCCCCCACCACTACTGTAACATTCTGTACATGAACAAGAGCAAGAGAAAACACAGGCATCTCATTATGTATGCTGATGACACAGCCCTGGTCAGCTTATTAAAGGATCTAGAAAATCATTGTTGAACTGTACAAAATGAGTTTACAAATGGATGTGATGAGTTCTCTTTGATATGAAATGTCTTGAAAACCAAAATAACTCATTGATTTTAGGGGAAAAAAAAACACCCCCCTCTATAATTAGCAGTCAGGTGGTGAAATTTTCAAAGATTAAAAGTACCTGGGACTGTTTATAGACAAAAACCTAAGACAGGACAACTGTGACAACATTTACAAAAAAGTCCGACAGTGACTCTTTTTTCCTTAGGAAACTCTGAAGGCAGATAGAAATATTGTATGTTTACACTTTTCTATAAGTTCTATTGAAAATGTCTTAATATACTGTCTCACTTGCTGGTTTGGCAACAGCATCACCGTTAATAGTAATGGGTTGGAAAAATTAGTGAAAATAAGCAGCAAAATAATTGGGTTAAATTAAATTAACTTCAATATCCATTACATGCAAAAGTTTGTAAAGAAGGCCAAGAGCTTTATAAAGTGTGTGTCTCACCCCCTGCACCGAGATCACTCTACAAGGTGGTAACACTGCTATTAGAAGTACTGCCACTCAGTAGTGTTTTGAAAAGGAACAAGAAATGTTCTGTAAAGCAGCTCAAATACAGTACCTAAGATTGAATAAATAAAAATGCAACCATGTTTTGGCTCTCGTCTGTTATCTGTTTGACTGACAGGGAGCTTCAGAGATAAAAACTGAAGTCACACTTCCCGGGAAGGGCAGCGAACGAAGTGCTTTTAGCGTCAAAGCCGATACAATACCATGCAAAATGAGAGCCAGCTGTTCTGCGGCTGATTTCCGGAGCACAAGGTCAACAGTCTCTGAAGTGAGAATATTGTAAAGTTTGTTGACTGCATCCACCTGTTAAACAATAAAAGCAAAGTATAAAAGCTGCTGTTTGACAGTTTTTTTTTCCACAAAAAGAACTCGAAAGCTTATGTTGGTGTCATTTCATATCCCCAAGCTATTCCTGAATCTTTTTGCACCTTTGCTTCAGACTGACGCCTTATATTGTCAGCATAACAAATTAATGGTTAACTGCACACAAATTAAATGTTCTTGACCTGCCATCTCAAATCTCAACATTAAAGATTCAAACTGAGAATGGCAGTTCAATAATAGAAACCAAAGGATCTCAGGGAAAAAGCAATTGTGCATGTAGAAATGCTTAGCTATTTCTGCCCTGAAGTGCTAGAACCTCATAGTACACTACAGGAAGTATTTAGTTAGTATAAGACCTGCCAGAAGAAGATTTATAAAATATTGTGATGAGCTTGGCATCAAATCTTAGCAAATGTTAACATTCCCCATTCTGCTTGCATTACTCAAGGCTTTACTGAGAACACTTTGGACAATTGGTATCATTTGAGGTGCATTCCTAACTCTAGATGGGCAAAGTGGTAGATATGCACGGACGATCAAAGGGGGTTTCTGGTGGTTTACTTCATGGCAAATGATAAGATCCTTTAACAGCTATAGATCACAACATAAATAAGGAGACTAGTGATGTGTTAAAAGCCACACAGCTCAAAGGCAGACCTGCCCACACTCCCTCACCCCCCAGGCATGCAGCTGCAGCAATCACAACCATGAGAAAGACTAAGAGTTTTTTTAAGTGAAATTACAAACAGCAATATTTGGCAAATGGTTATTAATTTCTTCAAAAGGTTGCTAGCAACTGCATTTAAGGGGTTCGATCCCTATTTAAGAATGGCCTTACCTTAAAAAATGATTTTTCCGTATCATCGAGTCTAATGTCAACTGATTTATTCACGATATACAAAGAAGCCAAAGCAGACTGAAGGGCACTGTCCAGCAATGGTCTCCTGGTGCCAGCTCCTTCACCACTCATGAGGTGGCACATTAAATGTTTCACAGCTGTGGCCCGAACCCTGAAATCAAAGAACACATCTTGCAAAAACACATAATTTCGAATAGTAATGATTACTAGAGCCCACTCACTGTGACAGCAGGAAGTATGAAGTCTAACTTAATAGCAAATGTACCTTTACCGAAACGTGCAACACTTAATTTGAGAATAATATAACTTTTTTTTTAACCCAAGGACACTAGAAGCGACTGCAACAACAACAGTGTAAATCATCTGCGATACACTAAAGTCACACTATAAATTCAATAGGGTCCTGACATTTGTAAGGGTTCTGTGCAGAGAACGGTTACAAATAGCCAAATTCACCCCATACTACTACATAACATACTACAGTTTATAGTATGGTTTAAAAACGTATAATATTTTAAATATTAGTGCATTCGCTTTCAATAATTAGAATAATGTTTATCAGCTCAAATGGTAATCGCAAACTTCTAACAATGAGCTAAAATAAACAACATGAATCCCTCCTCTGCATGCAGCAGATGCCCGCACTTTTTCTCTCTGCCTTATGATTATCACACCTCGCTGTAATGAAAAGAGCAATTAAACTGTCAGTGAGCCTATAAAGCCATCTCCAGTCTGTCACTCCCCACACCGCTGACACTGACACTTGCTGTTATGCACATTGCCTTTTGTCTCTGTCTTTCTTTTCTTATACAATTGTATTGTTGTTTTTTTTGTACTGCTGACCATCTGAGAGCTAGCTAAATAGCATTTTGTTATACCATACACTTGTATATGAGTATAATGACAATAACCTTGAACTAGAACTAAACCAGGAGCATTTGGTACAATATAAAAACAAGACACACATTAAGATGTGGATTCTAGGTACTTGGGCAGGTGGCAGGGGAAGCTTACTCACTAGCTAGATTGTTTGCTTGCTTGGATCTTTATACCACATAACTTACAGCTTTGCTGTGATACCTACTTCTGTTGTTTAGAGAAAAGAAGTCTAATAGCTGCTCTTATCCTAACAGAATTTGGGAACATCCCATCTTTTGTTTCGGTTGGGGCTTCGCTGATGAGCAGGACACAATTTCCCAGTGTATCTTCAGTATCCGCATATCCCTATGAATAGACAACATGAAACTGTTTGAAGTTGTCTCATTAAACACAATAAACGCAATCTCTTCTTAGGGAATGTAAAAGCCTGTGCCTATTACGGGAGCTTTCACTTCAGATACAATAACAAATAAGCATACTTATTAATAGCTTGTAGAAGATGAAGAAAAGGCTTAGTTTTTGCTTTAGTGACTCTGTAACCTCATTAATGGAAGTTCTGAACAATCTGAATCACCCTTGACGACCTTGTCAAATTATTATACATGTTCATAAACTTTCGTTCAGTTCAGTTCTTCTCCCGAAACAGATGACAAAGCTACTGCAGAGGTGGTAGGAAAACTAATGAAAAAACGAAGAAAAGGATATAGGCACACTTCCAAAACATTTATGCTTTCAAAGTTGTCCATTTTCACAGGCAGATGTGACTGAAAGGGAAAGATACCTGTAAAACTGGAACCACTGGGCATAGTGCCTCAGTGAATTTGTTCCAGGTTAGAGTTGTCATCATCAATTGTCCTTTCAACAGAAAAAGCAGTATCTCCTTGGCAGCACCATTTACCTATTCATCAAGGGGGAAAAAAAGACTAATCAGGGACCGATGATATATTTTATCCTAGATCTCTTCATGACCGTCTAAAAATAAGCTTAAAATGATACCGTCTATACCTCAATGATATAATACGCGCAGGCAATCAATGTTTCAATGTTGATTCTTTAATCGGAATACAATTAATACCTTCACATATACTCAGATGAGGTTTCTATTCATTTCACAAAGGGGTTTTGATTTTCTGCAGATTGAGATGATGCAGGAGGGCTGTTGCCAGAGGGCCACTTTTTCATTGCCGTTTAGTACCTAATTAGCAGAGTTTGGAAAAGACACTTTTGAGAGAGAACGCAACCTCCATCTCATGCTTTTCACATCACCCCCTGCCCCTGTAGGAATATACACATTCCTTTGTTTAATTAATAACTCATTACATTTCAAATTTTTATAATCAGTCATTACAACAATAGAAGTCATCAATGCTTCCTTGGAAGGCCAAAGGGTCACTCAAACTACAGACCAATGAGAACCTCAGGACTGGCACTTGAGGACAGACAAGCAGCTTGGCTACCAGTACACTGAATATATATTAGACCTGTCTTCCAAATAATTTGAAGCTTTACAGAAACTGACTTGAAAAGCCGTTTTTATCAGAGTTATCATGTGAATTACCATTAATATCGTTACCATCTCAATTCAAATAAGTCCTTAACTTGTGTACCTAAATGAACATTATGGAACCAGAAATTAATAATTTCACAGGTCTCTCAAACAGTGGATAATGTGCCTGAAATACAGCATCCTAAAGTTATGACTAGTTATGGCTAGTTATGACTGTGTAACAAAAGCAGTTTTGTACATACAGCTGCAGGATTTAACAAATAACACAAGCAGACAGTAATGGACTTATTTTGTTTAAAAATGTTGAATTCATAGTACTTTTTCCCATAAATATTAAACAGCTACAAAAAGGAAAATTAAAATTAATTAAAAACTACAGAGATGCTAAATATATCAAAAATGAAAAAAGAACAGAGGTGACAAAGGTCATCACTTTTCTAAAGAGTCAAAACCGCAATACATGTAAATGAGTGAGGATTTAACAAATACTCCATCATTCATTACACACCAAATACTGCATGCTTAATGTTCAAAGAACTATATTTCTAAACATATTTAACATCCTTTCCAGTCGTTTCCTGCTGGATTTCCAGACGTTTTATAATGTAAAACATTCGAAAGTCTGGATCTCATTATTTTGTTTCATTTATTATTTTTAAGCTGTTCTCCAAAGTTCCATTTTGGACAGCGCAACTGAAGAAAAGCAGTTCGATATAACTGCAGTGCTACTGTATGTTAAAGAGAGCACAAAGCATATAATGGAAGACAACTGCAAAGTTTGTCATAACCATGTGAATTTACATTGCACAAAGAAAAACAACACACTATGAAAATCAATTGAGGGAATGATATAGCTATGCTGGAGAGTGAACAGGATTACCATTAATTAGGATAACTGTGGATGAGTGTGACATTGTGATTACTCAGACTGCAGCTGCCTGCTAATGCCAGTGTCACGCTACACGACTTTTCCTAGGTTTTCAGTTGTAGCCTTTTTTTACATAATAGTAAGAAAATATCAGCGATTGGTAGAGTCGCAGCGTGCACCCGTTACCAGTTGTGTAGTGTGATTTACTCTTAGGGGTGGGCAATGAGCCAGATGTGTAAATACTTAATACTTGTTAAAGCGCAATACTAATTTGTTTACAATATTTGTTTGAAAGGTGCTTTATATTTTTAACTGTTTTATTTTTGTAAATTTGTTCTATAATTTGTATCTATTTTGGAAGATGTTTATCAAAAGAAAACAATGCCCGTGTTACATTTTTCAAGATGTTTATGTGCCTGTTCTCCATGTTGCTTGTTTGCTTTCATCCGGTGCTCCTTTCTTCCGGTGTGCTCCACGTTGATAGGCTGCCAAAATGCGGCGCAATGCGAGATGTGGAACCATGATGAAAAGTCATAAGGGAATCGTGTAATTAGTTACCCCCTGCAATTCCTAGTCTTATAATTTGGCACTCTGTAGGACAGTAAGGGCAGCGAGATTCAGCAACTGCAGTCGTTCAATTTGACATGCTCTCCGACTAGAAATCATGTCGAGTCATGTAGTGTGACGCCAGCTTAATATTTACACCCTTCTTCCTTCCTTCTTTAGCCAACTAATCCTCTTTTTGCTCTGCTTTCTCTACCCCTATGCCAAAATGAGGAATTGTTGCCTAAATTCTGACTGTTCACTCAGATCGCACAAACTCAAGCCTGGCAGAAAAGTTTAACATTGTCAACAGCCATGACTTGTGTCAAATTTAGGAAACAGATTGACGGTATTGGGATGTTTTTGCTTGTTTTGGGGATATTAACAGTACTGCAAAAAATAAAGAAATCTGCGCAACACCTTACTGAAAGTGTTTTTGCTTCCTTGTCAAGCAGCTTACCTTCTGTTCTTGGTCCTGCAAGCCAAATGTGCAAATCTCATACAGAATGCGAGGATGGAGGAGAAAACAAACCCCTTCACAAATCGACGATACTGGCTTTGTGACATTCTGGATTCCCAAACAATCCTAATAAGAGAAAACAGGGGAATGCTAAAACCAATGGCATTCATTCCCAAAAAGTATAATTCTGATTTTTATATTTTATCTTCAATTCTTTTGTACTTACAGTGATATTTTTTTGATGACTGGCTTTCTGAACTAGCACTTCAGTTATTCAACCATATCGTAGATTTTCTGGCACCTCTCATGTAATCAATCAGTAATTTCTTATATTTAGATGCATTCAGCTTTCAATCTGATTAACTTCCTGTGAAAGGTCTACACGTCTAAAGGGATAAACTGTCTAACAGGAACTTTGCACCTTCACTGCGTTTCATGTAATGTAATCAGACAGTTAACACAAATGTCTACAAGGCTGATGCCGATACCTTCACAAGATGAAGGGTGCAAGAATATGTTTCAGTCTTCACAGAGGGGAGGGGATGGGACAGTAGCTTCAAAAACACCTTCTGACTTTCGGTCTGAAGTCGTGGGCTCGACTGTGCGGATTTCCAGCTAAAATAAAGAGAGCGAAGAATAAAGATTAAAAATAAAATAAGAACATTCAATTTTATCTGCCTTTAAAACTATAATCTATTTTTTATATCTACTTTGGAAGGGAAAAATGTTTTTTTTAAATGGTTGCATTTAATTTACACACGTGCAAGGTATTAGATGCAGGTAGTACACACAAACTATAAATACAATGTGGAAAAGGCTGAGATAGAAGAGGCTGCTTATGAAAATGTTTTAGGTGTTTATGTTGACGTATCATTTACAGTACATTATCAAGTGTGGTCAAGCGATTAAAAATGCAAACAGAACGCACTTTCTGCACTCTTTAAAAGGATGGAATTTAAAATCAATGGATATTATATTAAAATTCTATAACACTATTGTAAGGCCTCATTTAGAATATTGTGTACAATTTTGGTCTCCATGTTATAGAAAATATACTTGGTCCAGGGAAGAGCAACGATATACTGTACATTCTGGAGTTTAAGGGAATGTCCTACACTGACATGCTGAAGGAAATAAATCTCTTTAGTCTTAAACAGGAAAAACTACAGAGGGCCTGAGATAAGTTTTCAAAACCTTCAAAAGCACTGACAACCCAATGGATTTCTTTGAGTGAAGAGTGAAACAAAACCAAAGTACACAAGTGGGAACTACGTGGAAGGAAGTTTAAAACTGAAAACAAGAGGATCTTCTTTACACAACAAGAGAATGGAAACGTGAAACAAGCTACTCAGCCAGGCTGAAGATACCCTGACTTCTTTCAAAGGAAAAGCTGAGATCTGATGTGATCTGAGGATCAATTAACTACTAAATACCAAATGGGGAAAGTGGGCCGACTTCCCTCCTCATTTGTAACCTATTTATAATAGTGTGTTATGCGACTTTAACTGTTGAAAGCTACACATTTGCTACTGTGGTAAGTTAGGCCCCATCTGTTCATCTTGTTTCAATTAAGTTTTTAAATAAGCTGATAAGCATGCTGAAAAGAGTGAAGAATAAGAACAATTATTAATAAAAATTACTGTACATGTAAGAACAGATTCCAATAAACTCCTTGACAACGGCCAAGTGCTGATGGCATGGAAAGCCTTCTACTGCCTGATCTGCCAGCTCAATTAGTTCCAACCAGTTCTTTTCTCCCTGTTATGAAAAACATTTATGGATTAGCACATTCATTGTTCATAATTTTAGAGTTAGAGTTCAGAATTCAAATTTAGTTTACAGTACATTTGTTCCATTAATACTTACTGCCATGCAAGAACATAAATAAAGCCTTTAGTTTTGGTAACAGTGTAGGCGAACACTCATACAGGAATAAAATATGCATATTAAGTTTACAGAAATGAATGAAGACGTTTCGATTCGGTTGCCGCATCAGCATATGAAGGCTGCAAAGAAAAAACACTGCATTTCTTTTCTTTTCAACATGGAATCAACCTTTAACCTGTTCCTTTGCAGACATGAATTAATTTTTACAGGGCGGAGCAGTGGCACTGTGGCTAAGGATCTGCGCCTGTGTCTGGATGGTTGCTGGTTCAAATCCCACAGTCGGCAGAGGAATCCTACTCCGTTGGGCCCCTGAGCAAGGCACAATGGTACAATGGCTGACCCTGCGCTCTGACCCCAAGCTTCTCTCCCTGACTGTGTGCCTGTGTGTCTCATGAAGAGCAAGCTGGGGTATGCGAAAAGACTATTCCTATAAGGCTAATAAAGTGACCTTATCTAATCTCTCTCCATATTGGTCTTTAAAGGAGACTAATAAAGTGATCTTGTCTTATGTCACTTCTCTATCAAGTAGTTTAATAAAGGGAAACCATCCATCAAATGTTCTTATCAGATGCAAACTTCCTCAA